ATGGACTCAAGCGTAGCAACAGTAGTGAGGTTGGCCCAGGATCGGGCAGTGTTTCATTCTGTAGTGAATAAGATCACTATGAGTTGGTACTGACTTGATGGCACCTAACAACAGCAACAAGAAGTTGAATTCTGATTATCAAGCCATGGAAGCTAGGTCGAAAGGTATTATCTACAAGTTTGGGTGTTCTTCTGTGTCTCCCCTCACTTTGTATCAGCTGGATGCTTCACTCTCAGCTCTAGCCCTCCGTGGCTATGTCCTTATCCATGGGTTCAGGAGTCCCCAGGTCTCACCACACATTGAACCAACCAGCCCTTCCTCTTCTCTCTCTTATCTCCAGGTCAACAGGAGTCTTTGGAACATGGTCAAACTTAGCCTGTTTCTTCATTGCTGCCTTTCCCCCTCTTCTACTCACCAGCAGACCAATGTGGTCGCCAGCAGTCTTACATGCCTTCTCGTGGGTTCCCTTTGAGTTTCAGTGTTGGAGAGGGGTCTGTCCTGAAGGGGCTTGATTACTTGCTTTGATGGCTCCCCAGTGAACAACTTACTGTTTTTGTAGTAACCAATCAGACTGTCGTTTTTTATTTTTGGATTTTTCCTGCTGGTTTCTCTTTTGAGAAGTATCTTCTGTGCCTCTAGCTGTTCCAAACTGGTCTGTTTGTCCTTTCAAGTGGGCATGTTCCACCTCAGAAGGTTCTGGATGGAACTCAGGGTTCCAGCTAAAGTCCCATACTCTGCAAAGGCTCCGCAATAAGCCTATTTCACCAGGCAAGTTCTAGAATCCCTTTTAGGTATCCCAATCAGTTACAGGCTGAAGATGGGCTTATAAGCTTTCTATAATCATGTTTACTGATATTCACTTCTATCCTACTCAAGTTTCTATTTTACAGTAAAAGATTTAATGATCTTTTAATTTCATTTTCCCATAAACTTCTTGAAGCCCTGTCAAATGTCCCCAATCCAACAGAAACTCCACAAGAAAGGGGCCCCAAACAGCCCTGAAAATGCCTAAGAAGGAGCTTCACAAACTCCTCAAATACACCCCGAGCACCATTTTTGTTAGCTACCCCTTCCCCTCCTCCCTGCACATGACACTGCCCTGGCAGGAGGGACCAAAGGCTGGTGAAAGGGCGCAGCAACGCAAGTCCAGCTTGCAGAGGCCTGAGTCCCTCCAACACCAAGTCAAGTTCAAAGGTTTGGACATGACCCTGACCTGCCTTGTTCTGTCAGCCTGCTTAGCCAGGGCCAGGGCAAGATTCCACCAGAGAAAGAGCTTTCCAGCCAGTTAGGAAGAAGCAAGCTGTGTTTGAATGGAAATCCGTAAGTCATGAATTTGTACTTTACCCCTTAGGGCTATTAGGAGGAATTATGATCCTGTATGAGTAAGGCCCGTGGGAACTCAAGCGGGGAGCACCTATTTCTGCCTGGACAGTTTGGAGTGTGATTCTCAAACTTAATCCCGAAGAAACAGGTAAACAGTAGCCAATTCAATGACCCTGATTAGTCTTCATTTCCCCAATGATTTCACTACCTTAACAGAAACTCTGTCTCCTAAGCAATGACTACCCCACCCCCTTCCCCTCCCATCCTTGGTAACCACTCTCTGCTTTTACCTATTTCAGGATCATACAGTATTTGTCCTTTTGTGACTGATTTCATTTCACTTCAGCATGATGTTCTCAAGGTTCATCCAAGTTGCAGCATGCCTTCATTTCACTTTATGGCTGAGCGGTGTTTCATTGTACGTATGTAGCTACACTGTGTGTATCCATTCATCTGCTGATGGACTTCGGGCCCTTGTGAATAGCGTTACAATGAACATTGGTGTAGAGGTCTCTGTTTACATTCCTGCTTTCAGTTCTTTGGTGCTTATACCTATGAGGGGAATTGCTGGGTTATATGGTAATTCTGGAGTCCCGGGTGTGGCACTGTGGAATAAAGCACTGGGCCTCAAGGTCAGTGTGAACCACAAGGTAGGTTGTTCAAACTCACCAGATGCTCTTTGGAAGCCCTATACAGGGTTGCTATGAGTTGGAACCGACTTGATGGCACTTCACAACAACAACAATGGTAGTTCTGTGTTTAGCTTTCTGAAACAGTGGAGGTTCCATTGTAGAATCCTCACCCTGGGTTTGATTTGTGGCCAACGTACCTCAAACACAGCCACCACGGCTCTGTCAATGGAGATACGTTGCTCTGATACCAAGTTGGTTTCAGTGAAACTGCAAGCTAAGACTAGGAAGAAAGGCCTGGAAATCTACCACCAAAAGTCAGCCAATGAAAACACAACAGTCTCATCCACAATCAATCATGAGTAGTATTTTTTTCCGCTATGCATGGGCTCACCATGAGTCAGGCTGACTTGAGAGCAGGTCACAACCTATGCATATAAGATACATATAAATACATATAAGATACATATAAATACATATAAAGTATCAGGTAGTTGGCACCTCAAGGAGCAGCCCTTGACCAATGAGGGACAGGAGTTGGCACAGATTTCTACAACATCCCAGAGTTCCCGAATGGGAGTTGCCCAGAGAGAAAATCTGCC